TTGTGTTGATGCAGGCTATTTCACGTACACAGCCAAATCAATATTGTCCTGTCCATTTCCAGAACTGAGTTGAAAGTTCCTACGTTTAGTTACGACTCCCAATATTCCGGGAAGTACAGGTTGAACGACGTTGGTGGCCCGTCAATATAATCTTTAGCGTTACGTCGTACCCGCAATATCATCGTCATTTAGTTTCACAGCAGCGTTTACCCATGTTTAGTATATGGGAGGTCGAAAATTCAGCATAAGGACTTTCAACTTAACGTTGCTGTCAGCTGCTCGTATGCAAGGCAATAGATAGGGCAAGTTACTCCAACATTGTGTCGTACATTTTCTAAAAACGGCTCGCCAAGGTGAATTTTATTTCCGTTTGGGCTATGCTTTACCTGTTCTTTGCAACCCGATATGCTGTGCTGTGAGCTAGTGGCCACGTGATCTAATGCTGCAATGCAACAGATGTCAGCTCACGATCCGTGTTGTGAGTTACATGGTACACACATTCAGTTTTTCAGGAGAATACATATTTTTTTTAGCAAATCATGAGTGCGTATGTCAGACGGTGTCGTCACGAAGTCGTTATCCAAGGCTGGTGCATAGTTTCTGGCCGTTGCAGGAGAGAGAGAGAGAGAGAGAGATTGAGAGAGAAGAGAGAGAGAGAGAGAGAGAGAGAGAGAGATTGAGAGAGAGAGAGAGAGAGAGAGAGAGAGAGAGAGAGAGAGAGAGAGAGAGAGAGAGAGAGAGAGAAATAGAGAGATCCAGGCAGGGCCGTGCCGGCCAAGCGGGCGCAGTGTGACAGCGGACAGGGCGCGCAAAACGGGCTCACCTTATGAAACACTGACTGAGCTGAAAACTGTCCAGCCTGTCCAACTCATAGCAGTCATACTGTCCAGACTGTCAGTCTCTCCGCGAACAGGGACGTTCCGCCACCTGATGGTAGGTGTCCATCAAATCCCTTTTTTCTTTTGTTTCTTAGTGGTCTGCTCATGCAAGAAAAAGATAGTATATCTACGAAACAGAACTCCTGCACTGAACACTGCCCCCCTGATCCCATCCCTCCCACCACCAAGAAAGTCCCGCACGAAACCATTTCTCCTCCGTCCTTCCCTCCCACCGAAATTTCTCGCTCCACAGGACACCTGTTTTGTTTTGTCGTTGTTGCAATCACACTATATACCCCTGGCGATGGACGTCCATTGACCGCTGCCGTCTGACCCATCTATCGACGAATCTCGGTCCGTGGAGCGGAGCCCGCGACCCCACCATTCGTGCCAAGGCCCGTTTTAACAGCACGCGGCCACCTTCACACAGGAGCGGTTTGAGGGTGAGGCACGATGAACAGGGTTGAGCCGGTCATCACGTCTTACTCTACACGCTCTCTCCTCCTCTCCT